TTTTTTTTTTTTTTGATCTTGTTCGGTTTTTGTGGGGAAGGGGAGGGGCTTTGGAAATTTTTTTTTTGATATGGGAAGGGGTGGGCGACGGGTTTGGATTTGGAAGCAAAAATTCCAATTTTTTTTTTTTTTTTTAATAAAAAGGTAATTTAGTATTTTAGGGGTGCGGTACGTAGTAAAATGGGTGCGGTATTTAGCAATTCAGATAAATAATTGGTGAGAGAAAAAAAAAGGCTTACAAATTACTCTATCAATTAAACAAGTGTGTGCGTACTGCGTACCCAATAGAAACCGATCCAGACGTACAAAGAGAGAATGGCTTCCCAAACCAACGATCCTCGCCTCCCATCGGCGGCGAGGCCGTACAAGCCGTCGGTCGTCGCTCCGCAGGACGCCCCCATCGATTACTCCGGCTTCGTCGCCGTCATTTGCGGCGTCTTTGGTGCTATGTTCCGGGTGCGTAATCAGTTTCTCCTTCATCTCCGATTTGTGTTTTCTTCCTCATAATGTCCTGTGTTACCTACGATTTCAGTATACGTGAATTTAGATCCACACAATCGAATTTGATCTGAGCAGATCTCATGGTAGTAATTTATCTGGAGGTGTATGATCATGGGTTGTCTGCTGAATTTGAATTTTGCCAGTATAAGGTCTGCTCGTGGCTTGCGGTGATATTCAGCGCACAATCGCTTGCTAATATGAGGAACATGGAGAACGATCTCAAGCAGATCTCCATGGCCATGATGTAAGTTTGAACTTTTATTTTCATGTCACCAATGTGTAAATGCGTCTGGATATGAATGAGTATGTGTTCATTTGCAACTCGAATTTAGCTGAGAACTCGCAAATTTGTTTTGACTAATGATAAAGGCACTATGTTGTTCTCTTTGAACATATTATCATGTTAGATGTGTGGGTTCCTTGACATGTGAGCACAGTGTTTTTCTTTGATTATCCCTGTTGTTGGCATTAGAAGGTGTTTTGATGAACTTATCTATAAGATCTTAAATAAAATGCAAAAGTAAAAACGGAAAAAAAAAAAAAAATGGCTTAAAAGATGCTATAAGGTAAGTCGGGGTGAAAAACCTGTTTTAAAAGAGCTTATGAGCTTTATTTTACATCTTATAATCTCTTAAGCATCTTGTAGATGCTTTTAAGTGCTTATAACCTCATAAAACACTTATATTGTGTAGAAAAAGAAGGAAAAACTACTTTAATACATTCTATTGTCTTTCTTATGAATTACAATGATTGCTCATATGAAATCGAAATAGATGTGTTTGCATTCTTGCTTGGATGACAATGTTGGTGAGGCTACTGGACTAGTCACATCCCACTGAAGAGAACAATGGAAGTTAGCTGGGTGTATATTCACTTTTCACATTCTCAACCAATATATTTCAACTTTTCTTTCCCCACCTTTTTTCTTGTGAAAAGGTTCCGGTTATGAAATATCATTTGAGAGCCCTGGAATGTTATTCTTCTTTAGATACCTGGATTGTTTTTGAAGTTCTGAATATATTTATAATATTAAGCCTTATTATTTTTCCTTTTTGGTGGATGCCAGGTTTGGGATCATGGGATTGGTGACAAACTACATGGGGGTGGGACCTCAGCCGAGCCCCAAAAGTTAGCAACCTTATATGTTGGATTTGCCAATGTTGAAAGCCTTCTTTTTCTTGCTCTTGTTAAAATGCTGCAATTCACATATTTTACTTGTCTAAGAAATCTAAGACCCTAATACCCCCCACTCCCTTTTTCTTTAGTTTCGATTTTCAAGTCGATGTAATCTTTTGTAATAGTTAGTTGGACTAGGTCGGATATGAATATTCAACATCACAATCGGAGATGGATTACACAACTGTTTTTCTGGGATCTGAAGCCCGATTTTATTGTGCCCTTATGTGCCTTCCATTGACTTGCACTATGAAATGTTCATCCATGCTAATGTTTCAATAAGCTATGTTGTTTTGATAGTTCGTTTTGGCCGCACTTTGGTTCATGATTGTTGGCTATAAGCTCTAGTTTTGGGATTCACTACGAGAAGTGGCTCTTACAGAAAGATCTGGTTGCATTTTTTTTTTTTTTATATTTCAAA